GATATACTGATGCTGCTAAACTATATACCAATAGCTTGAATATTTACAATGCTGCATTTGCAACATTTCAGCTAAACGGAAATATACTGCTCTTATGCTGGAAGTTCTACTGTATTTTAATTTACAACCCAAACCACAGCTGTGAGTACTATAAGCTTCATAGATGTATATTCTAAACCACAGGATTATCAGAGTGGGTATATATTTTGTATTTTGCATGTTTTTTCATATAATTTCCCATAGTAGGAAGCTGATGTTACTATAAATCATAGAACAAATTAATCCTAAACTATACTTTTCTAATCAAAGCTAAACCATTTTTACCTGGACATTTATATTAGAAGGTAATCAATTTCCCTTCTGTTTGTATATGAAAGAGATTTCCCATCAACCCCTATTAGGTAATTTGATTATTGAGAATAGATCTCTTGATGCTCACTAAAACTTGATTTGTCTTAACAGAAGCATCAGGGAAAGTTAAAAATCTTCAATTAATTTAGACATTTGGATAAATGGGTGTGATATTTGCAAAGGAATGCAATGACTTGCATATATGCAACCAGTGTACACAGTGAATCAACCAAGACATTTTTAGATAAGCAAGGTACAGATAATTGATCTTCTGCTCTAATTGCCCATCAGTTTAGGTTAGCGTCAGAGCAATAAGAAATAAATGCATGAGCATGCAGGAACATTTTCATTAAGACAGGCACCACAAAGTAGTAGATGGTCAGTATTATAAAAACTGGTATTCCGAAAGCTGAATTAATTGTTAAGTGAAAATAAAAATGATACTAAGACTATTCTGAGTGCTTGTTAATCAGCCTTCTCTTCTTGTATGAAAACATGGAAGAACAAAGAAAAGCAGACTTTGCAGGCCTTGTATTTTCCTCCTGGGCAGAAGTGTGGATAGAACTTAAGAGAAAGAGTAACTGACACAATTGGGCAATGGAAGCAGAATCCCTCCAAGGAACTGTAAACCTTTAAGTATGTGTGTAAACAGAAATGAATACACATGCACAGGCCTTCAAATTTCACCCATCATATAATATACTTTTTAGTGGGGAACTGCTCTTGGGGTGCACATTACAAGACAATGGGGACATCTAGTGGAATGCTGTAAAGCTGCAATTGAATATGACGCAAGGAAACACGGCCATCAGTCAGCACACCCAAAGGAGTGAGGTTTCCTTCTGAATTTTATTAGATGTGAAGTGAAACATCCAGTGGCTACAGCCAGATATAGTAGTATCTACTATGGATAAGGTGCAGGGGTGGGATTCCACCAGTTTGCGCCTATTCGCTAGAGCCGGTTGTTAACATTCTAAGCAATTTGGAGAACTGGTTGTTAGAAGAAATTACTGGCCTAATCCTATAAGGAAGGCAGGAAAGAAACATTCTGGTGTTGCTTACAGAAACTGCCTCTCCGTTAACCCTTATTACATTCTTGGCAGGACTAGACTTCCTGTCTCAGGAACTTCTCTGGAGTTTTTCCCCCCTCCTTTGCTGGTACTTTGCTTGTGTGGGATGACCATTCAAAGTTACAAAGTGACTTATGACCATTTTTCACACTTACGATGGTTGCAGCATCCCCACAGTCATGAGAGGCCAGGCAAGGAGATGCGTGCCTTGATGTGAGTGATATTGAGTTGGCCATGCCCAGCCAATAACATGACCACCAAGCCACGTCCACCCAGTCACATGACCACCAAGCCACGCCCACAGAACTGGTTGTTAAAAAAATTGAATACCACCCTTGATAAGGTGATTAGATGGGGTTTTTTTTTAAAAAAAAAAAACATAGATTAGATACAATTTTTTTGTTGACTAAATTTTTTAGACTACTAAGAAGTTTGGAAGTAGGCATCATGCTGCGTAGCCCACTTTCCATAGTTATTTGTGAGACTTTAGTAACTATTCCATTCAGCTCAGTGGGTCAGTTTCTATGAGAGGAAAACCCATTAAATAAAATAGGATTTCCTTTGCCTGTTATTCAGAAATGTCAGCTGAAATTGTGAATCTCTGCACATTTTAAAGGTGTGGGTCTCATGAATTCAATATAAACCTCTTTTGTGACTGAATTGAGCTATTCATCTAAGATTGATTGGCTATTGCTCAGATTCTTACAGGACATGTTGTGCCTAAATGTGCCAGGCTACAGTTCCTGTCCAATTATACAAAAGATAAGGAGGTTGCATTAGGAATGAAGTAGTTACGTTAATGAATAAAGATAAAGTCTGAAAAACAAACCTTGTGTTTATTTCCAATGCAACCACCTTGTCTTTAAGTACAATTGGGGAAGACACTGTGGACTGGCACAATATGTCCTAGAAAAGTGTGAGGAATAGCTAGTCAATTTAATCCTGGCAACTACATCAGTGTACTTTTCTTATCAGAGGTTTGCCGCTGTCATTTTCGGGGATGTTTTTTCAAATTTCTGATCTAGCAAATAGCCTTTCCAAGGGCTCTGCTTCCAAGCACTACTGTCTTTGACAGTAGATAAAAATCCATAAGTTGCTGCAATTGGAAAAGATGTGATGGTTATATATAATGCACCTATATAATTGATCCATCATGTTCTGCAAACATGATTCCTCTTCATGATCGTGGCAATGTGCTTTCCTCATATTTCTGAGGCGGAAAGGATGGAAACTGTTCTAGAAAGCACTACCCCTGCACCTTAGCCTTGCCACACCCCAGGAGCTGGGCCAATGTTGCTGTTCAGTTCAAGGTATTCTAAGGCCCATTGATTGGTATCTTCTGGGTTCTTTCCTCTCCTACTCAGCATTGCCTATGACTGGAAAAACCACCCTACCATTTGCTTCCCTGAACATGTGGCAGGATGAGGTTTGGGTGTTTAGCTGAAATGTTTCATTCAGGCATAACTTCTCACCAATACCATCATTCTTAAGTTGTTCCTGTGCACTTCTGCTCTTGGAATTGCTTCTGCTGAATATATGAGGCTTGCTTCTGGATAAAACACAGGTAGTCCTCAACTCACAACAATTTGTTTAGTGTCAGTTCGAACTTACAGTGGCACTGAAAAAAGTGACTTATGATTGTTTTGCACACAACTGTTGTTGCAGCATCCCCATTGTCACGTGATCAAAATTCAGACACTTGGCAACCTTCTGACAAGCAAAGTCAATGGGGAAGCTAGATTCACTTAGCAGCCATGTTACTAACTTAACAACTGTAGTGATTCACTTAACGAAAGGTTGTGAAATAGGGGAAAACTCACTTGACAACTGCCTTGCTTAGGAACAGAAATTTTGGGTTCAATTATGGTTGAAACTCGAAGACTTCACCAAGATTCACACTGCCTCTGTACTGAAAAGCAGTCTAGACTTGAACAATTCAGCCAGGGGAATGTTATGCATCACAGGGAGGCAAGTAAAGAGTATTTTTGAATGCCTCTCCATTGTTTTTCTGTCTTCTCCCTACACACACGCACATTGCCCACACACAATAATACTTTCTGGCTGCACAATACATCTGTTCTTCATTATGCTTTAGCAGGGACCAGCGACAAGATGGAGGCTTAATTGTGCAGTCCTATCCTCAGCAAACTGTAAGTGGGCTGACCCCAAGCTATGGCAACTGGGAAATGTACATGATATACCTTCTGTATACTTAGTTTACATTAGTCTGAGGAAACAGCTGGTGGCATGCCTGTAAGATTTTTTTCTCCAGGATAATTCTGTTGTTGAACACACAACATATTTCTGTTTTCTCCAATATTCTTTTTCAACCTGCTTTCAACATTGGTATTTTCCTGAGGAGAATGAAATATCCTCAGCTTCATCCCATTGGGGCACACAAACAGAGCTTATTACATAGATAATTTTTGAATTGTAACAACTAGTTTAAGACAAAGGCCAGTTCATATGTAATTTCAGCTTTAATAAAAAAGTACAATGCAAATATCAAGGTCCAGCTATCACACACTTTTATATATAGGAGCTTCGGGGAAGGGTTTAGTTAAGCATCATGATCATTATGCTATAAATTAAAAGGCTTAATAATGTCTTTGCAGGGCTATTTATCCTCTTTGTTCTCCTTGGTTCCATATCATGCTCTATATTAACCTATATAAAGCATTCATAGTTGTGCAAAGAAAATCTTACCCAACGTGGATAACAGATATTTTGCATGATTATGTTTTAGGGTTCAGGTGTGAAGTAGTGTTTCTCTTTTTGTACATATGACCATCAAACAAGCAAACATTCTCTATAGTACTAGGAGCAGAGAATCGCAGATATTTTAACACTTTTTTTTAAAACTAATCACATGCTTATTGCTGTGCTCCAAAAAGCAAAGGGTGTCTTGAGGCATCTATGAAACTTTTCCATTTTATTCTCAACTCTGAGTAGCAATTTGAATCCAGATCTCCAAAATAGGAATTCAGTGTTGTGCCTAGTATATTCTTCCATGTTATTTAAGATGTATTACCATGTTAATTGTTAAACCATGTGTCTCAAAAATGTCAAAAAACTGTGACTACTAGACATATAAATTATTCTCAGTATCTTCAGAATTCAAATGTTGTTATCTGGAAATATTTTTAGTATAGGGAAAGTCTGTGAACTTGTTATAAACATTCCATGATCTTTTCCCTCAACCAGCAGTAACAAATTAACTTAGTTTTGTTTATTTTCACAACATACACTTGGAATGTTATTCATACAAATTGGTATATTATTCGACCAAAGAAATTGATCATTATTTTGTATCTCAGGTTATTGCTAGCTTACTGTTAGATCTGGTCATAATGAAAAGCAGGAGATGTTGTTTGCCAAATATATAATTGAACCATATTAAATAAAATTAAAGAGTTTATGATAACTTTTTCTTGGAATTAACCCTGGTTTATAGCATTTATTTTGAATATTAAATTCTAACCGAAAGTCAGTCATATGCCAAGATACATTTTAGGTGTATCTTTCTAAAATATGCATTGTTTATGATTGATTTGTAACTGTTTTCCTTCTCCCTGCTAGGTTGTTTATAAGAATAATGATATTCGTCTGGAGTTATCTCGTTTGGCAAGGATTGGCGACACAAAAATGAAAATCTACGGGGAGGTGAAATTTACATGTGAGAATGTAGCCACATTGGATCCAATCAATTTTGAAAATCCCGAGGCCTACATTAGCCTGCCTAAGTGGAACACCAAGCGAATGGGGTCTATCTCTTTTGACTTCCGCACTACAGAGCCCAATGGCCTTATTCTTTTCACTCATGGTAAACCCCAGGAGAGGAAGGATTCCAGAAGCCAGAAGAATACCAAAGTGGATTTCTTTGCAGTAGAACTCCTGGATGGAAATCTCTACCTTCTTCTTGATATGGGCTCTGGAACTGTTAAAGTAAAGGCAACTCAGAGGAAAGCCAATGATGGAGAATGGTATCATGTTGATATACAGAGAGATGGTAGATCAGGTATGCACCAAATCCTTGAGGTGTAAATATATCTGTTTCTCTAATACAGGAGTGTCAAATAGGGGCCAGATGCGTCACATGCTGCCCCTGTCCAGTTTAGCGAAGGGGAAAGAAGTCCTGATACTCATTATGCCACCATGACTCCGCAAGTTTGACATCCCTGCTCTAATAGAAATTATTTTAAACTACGAAACAATAAAATCAGATGAATTGCTTGACAATGGCGATTGTCTGTGATTGTATATTGCAGGTTTAGCAAAGGTGATGGTTTTGAGCTGGAATACTGTAAAAGCATCCCAAATGTTACAAATGAAAGTAAAGGTGTCCAGAGTAGAATTCAACTTGTGTTCTTAAACACTTTCCTTCACACAGTATTTGCGTAATTCTTGGCTTGCCTTTGTATCCATGTGATTCCACACCGTGGTCTTTGTTCACTTTATTTCTGGCTAAGCTGTGGTTCAACAATCACTCTGAAGCTGATTTACAGCAGCAGGAACTAGCGTTTTCAGGAGCTCAGAGCTGGACCTTTTTCTTATTGCAAAGGAAGCTCTCCTCACTTGATCTTTCCTCTTTCCACTACTGACAGACAGAAGAAAGTAAAAATGGAGTGAGGGAGGGAGGAAGGGAGGGAGGAAGGGAGGAAGGGAGGGCAGGGGAGAGACAGTGAGTGAGAGAATGAGAGAGAATGAGAGAGGTTGCTTCACAGGGTGCTGATGTAGTAAGCAGAGGTGGAGCACTAACTGACATAAAATCAGTTATATTCAGAGCCGTGGTGGTGCAGTGGTTAGAGTGCAGTACTGCAGGCTACTTCTGCTGGCTGCCTGCAATTCAGCAGATTAAATCTAATTAGGCTCAAGGTTGTTTCAGCCTTCCATCTTTCCAAGGTTGGTAAAATGAGGAGCCAGATTGTTAAGAGCAATATACTGTCTCTGTAAACCACTTAGAGAGGGCTGTAAAAGCACTGTGAAGCAGTATATCAGTCTAAGTACTGTTGTTATTGCTATATTATCCATACTTTTTAGAAGTCCAGTAGAGACTTTCTGCAAAAAAAACATGTGTTCTGCCCATAAGCTGAAATCCATACCTTTCAGTATTTTATTTTAAAGAATTTGCAGGATGCACTTTAATCATACATAGACATATTTCAATGGCTTAAATTTGTGGACCAAATGTTATTGCTACTCTGAAATTCAGTTAAATTGGTGGAACCTACCCAAAAGATGATGCAATAACAATGTACTGTTAGGCATACAGTAAAATTGGCTTGTCTTATGCTTCCATATTCTTCACCAATAATTCTGCATCAAACTGCCAGATTATTGCAGTACAGATATTCCTTGTTTAGTGATCACAATTGGGTCTGGCAACTTGGCTGCTAAGTAAAGTGGTTGCTAAGTGAAACAGGGCCAGTTCGTATGATCTTACTCCAGCTTTCCTTTGCTCAACAGACCTGCCAGGGTCACAAGTGTGAGAACTGATCATAAAGTTACTTTTTCATCACCATTGTCTCCATTAATAGTTGCTAAATGAGGACTACCTGCAATACCTTTCAAAACCATGCATAAAAATAACCTTTGGAACTACTGATATCATCGCAAGGCAATAGATGTGTTATACTGCATAGATTTTCTAGTTTTTCAAGACAGTGAAAATACAGTCTTGTCAGTTCTGCTAGGAGGCAGTAACATGTTTCAGGACAAATGTTCTCTGTCCTCTATATAAAGAGGACTCCTTGACCGTCTACACTAAGTGTTTCACCCTTCATCAGAATTCAAGCTACACAGGAAAGTGATTTGTTTTATCTCTTGGACTCTTGCTTGACCTTCCTTTCTTCTTTCTTTCCTTCCAGGTACCATTTCAGTGAACAGCAGACGGACACCATTCACTGCAAGTGGAGAGAGTGAGATCTTGGATCTGGAAGGAGACATGTACTTGGGAGGACTGCCTGAAAATCGGGCTGGCCTTGTCCTTCCTACTGAGCTGTGGACAGCTATGTTGAACTATGGTTATGTGGGCTGTATCCGAGACCTCTTCATTGATGGGCGGAGCAAGAACATCCGGCAGCTGGCAGAGCAGCAGAATGCAGCTGGTGTCAAATCTTCCTGCATTAGGGTCAACACCAAACAATGTGATAGTTATCCCTGTAAGAACAATGCTGTCTGCAAGGATGGCTGGAATCGCTTCATTTGCGACTGCACAGGCACTGGCTACTGGGGAAGAACATGTGAACGGGGTAAGTTCAGAATTCAGAAAAATATTTTAGCCAGAGTTGAATGTTGTTTGGGTGGCATTTTAATTTCTTGATACTTTATGTTAGACCTGTGCATTTTATAGCCTCTGGGTCACATCTGGCCTTTGGCTGTCCCTGTCCTTACTCTCTGATCACTGGGTCATCAGAGAAAGAGTTTTTAATCAAAAGGCTTCTTCTCTGAATCTGGCCATTTTTGGCATTCAATATCTTGAGGATTTCAGCCTTGGTTAATTCCAGTGAATTGACTTAAGCTGCAACTTGTGAATTAAAGAGCAGATTGAAATGCCATTACACTCCAACATTTTTTTTCAGCACAATTCTTACATTAAAGTAAAAGCAATACATTAAATAACAATACAATAAAACAAAAAAAATGCACAAATGTATTTTGAGATCTAAACCTAAATTATGAATAGCAAAGATTCCATTCACTGTATCATCAAAGTATGAAACAATGTCTGTTTTTTTATGTCTATGCAAATCTTTTAAAATGGGAGCTTTGCAATAAATGGGGATATAACTAAGGCATCTCCTTTTGAAACAGGAAAGCAACAATTTCTTTTTCCAGGCCTGTTGCTTTGTAGTACCTCTCAGGTGCCTCTTTAACTGTATAATATGCAGAGCCATTTTCTTTGCTGAATATATGGAGTTAGTTGATGTAACATCTACATCTGTTTTCCTTGAAATGGTCATGTTAATATAACCAGCATTATAGGTTATCTGCCAAATACTCAAAATGGCCCATAGCCAATCCTGCTGATTTGGTGAAATTGAAATTACTAACAACTAAATTATTCTATTTGTGATACTGTGGCAATTTCTATTGCCACTGCTGTTTCAAACCAGCCCAACTCATTTTCCAGTTTGGTAATAGTGTTTCTAGGTAACAGTCAAGTTAATACCAGGTTCCTTTGAATCCAACACTGTATCACATTGCCCCATATGCAATGCTCACAATATGTGAATTAAGTGATCCACAATAAAATGGCAACCAACTGGCACAGAGTGAAGCTTATTGTTGAGTTGGCTCAACTTTTGTTCAATTTAGTGCTACATGAAGGATGAGGATATGATTCACCAATAACCACAGGTCATAATTGCTGCCTAGGAGAGCACTCATGTCTGAGTGGTAAGGGGAAGTACTCAAATTCTGATCTAATGTGGGATCATTAGCAATATCATGCTAAAGGTCTACTAAAGTCTTCCATCAGCCTGTATCCATTGAGAAAAAAAGCATCACCGAAGGAGGTCTAATGAAAAAGCAAAATGATATTTTAGCATGGAAAATTGTGTCTGGAAGATAAAAAGGATGACATTCAATGCAGAATAATGAGTGTGTCAGGTTTCCAAGTGATGAAATCCATTTAAAAAGAAAAGAGTAAAGTCCATCTTCCAAAACAATTTCTTTTATTTCGGAAAGCATCAAATTGGCAAAGTCCGTGGTAATTCTGGATCTGACACAACTTGGAATTACCCCATAATATCAGAAGTTAGAAACAACCCCCAAAAGTCATATTCTCCAATAGAAGTAATTCAATGTTGCTTGATGTCATAAATCTCCACCTCAAGGGGCCTGAACACGGTCAGCTCATTTTCCCACGGGAAGAAGAATCACCTAACCTAAGCAACTCTCCCTATCTCCACTCCTCCTCCCTTAGTAATGTGGTAAGCCCGAAACCCTTCCCCCATGACCGCCAAAGAGAAAGTAAGAAAAAGAATATATATTAAGCTTAACTGATATGGCTACACATATGTGTCAGCTTTGAAATTCAGCTGCCACATATTTTTTTTAGAGAGAGTTAGAGGAGTTGAAAAGTTCAAGGTTATTCTGTGTGTCATATTAAGAATTTGCAGTTGCAGTTAATTGGTTCTCGTGATTTATGAAGTGTAGAAGTGGGAGGAGAGAAGGGAGGAGAGAAGGTGGATTCTGTGTAACAAGCGAAAAAGCTTTCGCTTGGGAAATTGCTTTTGAACATGTCAGATCTGTTCCTAATAAATCAATTGGAGAGATAACGTCTCTGGAGTGATTGATATCATGGATACTGTCTGGATGCTTGACATTAGGTCAATTTTGGGCTTGATAGAGTGAATGAAAGGAGTTTGAATAAAGAGAGAAGGGATAAAAAAGGCATTAAAACTTGTTCATAGTTTGGTGAAGTTATTTGTATATTACATTTTGGGGGGGGTTCTCATTTTAAAGATTCTGTTAATGTAGCTTGACAGTAAAGTCGAACTAGCTCATCTGGCTGTGTTTACTGTGTGGTTTACTTTGCAACACTGACATCAATCTTGCAAGTCTGAAAGTACTTTTCTCTCTCTGTCCTCTTTATAGCACACAAAATTAGGAAGGTGGCTTCTGAGCTATTTGCCCTGCCCATATTCTTACTGTGGGCTTAGCTGCTTTTTATCTGTTCCCTTGGCTGCATCTTTTTGCCTTTTCTCTCAAGGCCACATACTATTTAAGCACCCATGTCCTGGATTATCCAAATTTATGAGTGGAGTAGAGAGTCAAATTATTTCCAGACCAACTCCTCTTAGGCAGAATTTAAGTTCAGTCTGCTTCATTACGTTCAGGTTTGTGAGAGGAACATTGCAGGACAAAGAAAATGACAGTTCTCTCTTCTCAGAGAGGCAGGTATAGGCAGGTATATATAGAACTATAATAAGTGGATAAATTGTACATCTGTAAATAAAGTTGAATTAATGGGTATCCCAGAGCAATCTAAAATTATTAAGTAGGAAGAAGTATAAACCGTAGGAACAAGACAAACTAAAAATTTTGTATTATAAATAAATATTTATTTTGAAGCCTATTTTATAATAAATATTTTTGAAGGGCATTGTTCAATCTCTTGTTTAATTCTAACTCTGACTCCTCCCCCAAAAACCCTCCCCCCCAACTTATCACTACATCTAAGCCTCTAAAGATTTGGCCCCTTACATCCCAGTCGACATCATCCTGGTTAAGGTTTACCACAGCAGCTCTTGGCTGGCCTGGCCTGACTAAAGGATCACCTTCAGGTAAATTTTAAAAAGCAGGGGTAAGAGGACATCACTCTATGGCATCCCATGTTTACCAGACTGGCTTCTCTCTGGTGGTGGTATGCTACTGATTCGGCCCAGTTTACCTGAACCGGTAGCAAAAATAGCTTCTGATGATCAGCTGAGAAGAGAAAGGAGAGAAAAGTGCAGGGTTGGCCTTCCCATCTGCCCCTACATTTTTCTCTTGTTTATCCCCTCAGCTGATTGGTGCTGCAGGCATCACCTGGTTTATGGAAAGCTGTGTGCGCATGTTAGTTGCGTGTGCGCACACGATCACCAAACCGATAGTGAAACAGGTAGGAACCCACTCCCGCTTGTCTCTTTCTGGTGCTGGTGCTGTCTGGTTAAGAAGACCAGAACAGAACCCCCTTTCCTTGCCTGGTATCCAAATGATACTGCCAAAGAATAGGCTCAAAGATGAGTTCATACCCTGGTTTGGTTTAATTCACTTTTGATCTTCCTCTAACAGACATTAAAACATCTTTTCTGATAATTTACCTTCCAGAGCTCTCTTTGGTTTGGCTGACAAAAGCTGATCAGGGACAATCTCATCCTGCCCTCTGGTCATCTTCCAGCTCTAACTCTCATAAGTGGAGTTAGATAGGACTGCCAGTGAGGTTACTGGGAAAATTCCCAATTGTCCTTTAGAATTCATTACAGTTCCACTACTGAACATATTTTGTGTTGAAATAATTCCAAACCTCATTGACACCACTCTGGTACTTTTTTCTCTTTCTGAGGAGGAATTGGAGCCATGCAGGAAAACAAGTAGGACAGCATTTTCAGCCAAAATAGCATGTGCAAAATAATTTCTTTTAAAGCCTCTAGTTATGGCGTGACCTAAACATTTCCATTTGTTGTCTCTCTAGGTCATCCTATAATATGGCTTTTCTAGATCACTTGTCCATCTGTTGAGTCATCTGATATACTTCTCGACTAGTTAAGTAAACACATGACAGTATTACAATAATATCAATGTAACCATCAGTTGACCAATAGATAAATTTATTAAGACTTTAATAATTCATCAGAATAGGCAAAGAATCTGATTTTACCTTGAAGATTATCAACATTACTGGGACATAAATTTCTACCAGTTGCTATTTTGCTGCCACAGACTAACCATGGATCTTTCACACTTACAGTTTATCAGCTAATTCTTTAGTTTATTTGGTGCAGTAGATTTGTACAACAAATTTTAAATTAGTAGTAACTTACCCAGACTCTGTTGTGGGGTTGGAGATCTGTCTCTCTCCAGCTATACATAAGATTACATTTCCTGCCTAACGCCAAATAAAGAAGAAACATGGAATTGTAGTTCAGCAATATCTATGTTTCCATTCATGTTCTGGAAGGGATTCTTACTGTCCCCCCTTGCTTAACCTTGGCACCAACTTCATTATCTTCTTTACTGAGTACTGCTTATAAAGGGCAATGCATCTGCTGTTGGTTATGTGATAGTAAACAGAGGTTTCTACTTTATTGTCTGCCAAGTACCTTTACTGCAGCATCTCTTAAAAGCTCTTTAATGAGAACACACATCTGCCAATTATGTACCCAATAAACTTAGAAGCTATAAAATTACAGGGCAATAAGATGTGCTACAAAATTATTTACTGCATGGAATGAATTTTATAGCTTTGTATCTTATGGCTAACAGAATGAACTCGTTTAATTGCTGGCTGTACCAACAAATGAATAAAGATTCTTTAGGAACATCCAAGTTACACATTTTGAGCATGCATCTCCAGACTAGAGATAATCTGGGAATTATTTTTTTAAATGAGAAATCCTTTCATATCTTAAAGAAGTTTATTATCAGTTCAAAGCCTAATGGTAATTGTAGAGTTCAGTGTATTTTATAGTATATTCCACCTACTCTGATTACCAACCCATTATGTCCTAAGATCAGGAGTAAAGATTCAAGTGATGGGGACATG